TCTCTAACGTTTGCAAGCACAAAACGACGTGCACTTCGCAACCACCAAACCCCTTCTATTCCGTCAATACAACCACTACCTCATCTCAGCGACCATGTGTTCGCCCACCTCCGGTACTTCACCACCCACTTTACCGCTACACCAGCCCAATACCTGCCCTGATCCACTTACTCATCCCCCGCATGAGCACGTATATAACTTTACGCCGAATCAATCAATTTCAGTTTACTATTTATAGGAACACTAATTTTCCCTATGTGCCTCCTTTGCGCCGACCTACGACAGCCCCATACCCCGCAACGTTTTTTCGGACACGCCATGACGCGGGTGCTGGGCCAAGTTGCCCCTATACCCTTGATTCGGGAGCCGGCCACCAAATCCAGTGCTCCGACACTTGTCAAAATGGTACCTGAAAATTCTCTACAATTCACGGTAGGTAATGAGCAACCTTCGTGTCTCTAGCGTCCCTTCTACGCACCAACTTAAGACAACATACGGACATACAGTCCCCCCGCCTACTTGCCAGGAAGTAGGCATCAACGTTTATCCCTGTGCTTAAACCAGTAGTCGCGAGCGACGCCCCCTTGCACTTTGCAGGCTTAACGCCACTGCGTCCTCACCGTTTAGTGGACAAAAAATGCCGCGCAACAAGGTGCACACCTTTTCTTTAACGCGCATTTCGCCTCCATATTCTTCCCAGTTATTCAAACTTTTCGCTATTTGACTATTATTACCCCCGATGTGATTTTCTAATCACAAAACCTTTTATGATATTATGATGATGTGTAACGTAGGCATTATTTTAATCCGATCCTTATTTAAGTAGTTATATAGCATTTGATGTTTTGTCTTGGTAGTATCCATCGCCTCGTAATCGTCCCATGGACTGTCCTTATGGCTATGCCAGAGGCTGAATTCCAACTTTTGCGATTAAATTGGCATTCTGCATAATACAAATGTATAGATTACAAGATGCCAGTAATACACAGCTGTTACATGCTGGACGTAGTCTTTTTGAATCACGTCGTGTCTTACCAAATCACTATTTTGTATTCATGTAAAGAATTTAGCTATTCCGCAGAAGGCTTACACTGTTTGTGACGCCTCGTCTGATGAGACACTTGTTCTTTCCCCCGCAGACATCCTAAGATGATACGGACTTGTATCAATAGTTTTATATTTTTGTCCTTACAGAGAATAACTTCATGTGACGTAATAATTTATTTATGATTTTATTTGCTGTATTTTGTAATCGTATGCCATTGTCTACTCTCCCTTTATTCTTTTGTACCATAATGATATCTTGACATTAATCCAAGCTTGCGTAAGCAGCTCAACTAACATCCACTTCATTGTTTACAGTGACATTCCTGATAAATCTTACTTCAATCTCTTCTTCTTCTCTCTTTCTCTGTTTCAATATGCCTGTTCCTCGTTCATCCTTCCTCGCGCTTCTCTTTTCTGCATTTCTGCCTCAGTACATCCTCTCCTTCCCCCGACGTTGTCCGTCGCACCTGAATCCTACAGCTTCTGCCTCCAGCATGGCTCTAGGACTCCCTGAAGATCCATCCGTCGGACCAACCGCAGGCACTAGATTTGAGCTTTCCTGACGCCTACCGCAACCCTCTTTTCTCTTATCTGTTTCCTAAACATACGCTCTGCGTCTTCACGTCTCCCCTCTGCCTTCTTTCTCCTCTGTTTTTCCCATTCACCAGCGCATAGCGTTAAGTTTGCATTTTTTTATCTATGTGTACTTTGAAATTCAAGGCCCCTTTAACTTTCGAGCACAAACCTCAGGGACTAACACAATTTTTTTCCTCCCATTATTTTATTTTGGTGCAATGCTTTTCTTTCTTTTCGTAACTCGCATCCACAATGATTGTAGTTATATTTATATTAATCTGCTACCCAAACATTATGCTATCTGTACTGGTTACAAACTCTACCACTTTTTGCTTGATATCCACTTTTTGCATGATATAAACTTCATTATATAATTTTATCTGATGTATTATTTTTCTATGTTTAAACTGTCACTCTTGTATTTTCCATTGTATACTTATTTGAGCAACTCTGCTCCATTATTGCTAGTTTTTTCATTTTGATTATTATAATAGTTTTTACGTTCTCCCGCATCATCTCCAACTTATACCCTTTCCCTTTATAACAATAGTTTGTCACATATCTTAATTAATACAACTTTAAATTATCCTTGTCTTTGCTTACCTGCCCGTGCGTCCGCGCATTACCTTTCCCGAGTAATGTCACATCATTATTATTTCGGATCATGATTAGAGTCACGCCGAAGCAATTTTGCCAGTATGCAAAAGTGGCCTCCTTAACGGACTCTGCCGGTGCGACACGCTGCGCCTGCAGACCCCAACCCAGGCACGGCGAAACCGAAAGAAACGACAACAAACAGGATGCTCGCGTGGCCGTCCCATGGTCATTCATCAAAAAAAAAACGCACTTCCTTTGCACACCCACTGGCCTCGCCCGTGTTTGCGCACGGCTCAAGCTGATTCACGTTGACCCGAGGTCCATAGTAATGATAATGGACTGACACCCCTCCAGGGCTCTCTTGTCTCTTGTCTCTTGGCGCTAGGCTCTTGTGTATCTGATGTCTCTGACGTCACTTACGCTCTTCGCTCACGCCAGTTCACTGAAGCCCTGCGCACTGTAGTTCTTCAGTAACTGCTCTACCAGTCTCCGTCGTAGAGATACATTGCTTGGTTGGTGTGCGACCCCCGCACTCCGCATTCTCGTGACGAACCGTCACTCACTGCAGATGTATTCAAACACTACGGTAAAGTGGAGAACGACCCCTTGGTCATTATATTTATCTTTGATTATGTAAAGCAATAAGCTTTCCAATTACCATGTGCACATGTACTAGTAATAAGACAATAAACTAGATTAAGGATAATTGTGTAAGTGTGTGCTTCACCTGCTCTCCAAGCCCTTAGGAGACTTCCTCCTACGGGGTGTAAGTAGTCCCGATCCCTCTCAGCGAGTTGCTCCCCAATAAAGTGTTACATAGCTATGCCACCCCTGTCATACCATGACATGCTCTCCCAGAAATCAGGTAGAACTAAGAAATTATCTCCACGATTCTATGGCCCATATACTGTTCTCGAGAGAACCTCGGCAGTGAATTATAGAATCGATAAGCCGCGAGCGAGTGAACCCACACAAATAGTTCATGTAGAGAGATTATGCCCGTTTATAGATGAGTGGTCTGGGAATGGGACACTCATAGTCGCTCGCGAAGACCCTTCTGGACCACAGGTAGGTGAACATGGGTCATTAGCAGGTGATCATGAGCTCAATAGTAGCACCACCGCAAGGGTAGACGATACACCCGCGCGTAATGGGCCCAAAAGTACAAAGTTGGAAGCTAAACGGAATAGCAACTCCGTGATTGGGCCCACTCCCCCTTTGGTTCTGACGGGTGATAGTCCTAATCCCTCAGTTCGATTTACGCGTTCTATGACGGCCGCTGCCCGTCGTCACTAAGGTTTTTATTTTTATGAGTTCCCTTGGAAGGGAAGAAGCCATCAGAATTACTAGTGATACTCGGGATAGAAAGCCTGGGGTCACAATTGCGTTCCAGGAATCAGTTGCGTGCAAGTTAAGTAACAATGCCTTATATATCCATAATTTTATCTTTATCCAAGTCACATTTCTTTTCACAGCTATTACTGCTATTAGCGAGTACGCATGCTGCATTCACCACTTCAACGTCCACCATGGAAGCACGAGAGATTTCGGGAAACTTCAGGCGTCCACTTCAGGGCGCGTGTTTCATTCTACTATTAACGTTTATCGGCTTCGGCATCAACACCAACAGTAAGGGTGGTGGCCGGCGCATTTTGGAAACGGCCACCGGACGTCGTCACCTACGAATCTTCAATGCCACTTTCGTTTAGAAGGAAGTGGAATCCAGGTGAGGTACTCGCCTCAGCGAGTGTACTTCAAGAGGTTCGCAGACCCGAATTACGTTCAGCTCGACCAGCGAAACGACGCCGACCGGCACCCATGGTATCACACGATACGTTGGCTCCTTTTGCAACCTTTACAAGAAAACCGGTCACATCCCAGATAACAACTAGTTCGTCCTCTTTTGGCAAACCACAGGTGGTGTCATCCACCACAAATTCTCCTACTGTACCGACGCGGGTTCAACAAAAAGTTGAAATCAACCCCCAATTAGAAGTGATGTCAGAAACTTTACGCACCTTGTAAGATGTTTTTTTATGAACAATTGTTAAAATTTGAGGAAACCCTATCTTTAGAATTAAATACCCCCTCTCAAAGGTCAAAACGAGCCCTAAATTTTCTTGGAGATTTCTTCCAATTTTGTTGCGGTGTCACCACCACACGTGATTTTAAAACATTCAAGGTTTCACAGAAACAATTTCATGGGGAAATCCTCCGTTTAGAAACTATGATAGACTCCGACCACCAATCCCTTATTAACATTTCAAGGGAGATGAATTTGTATGACATACAAAATTCGGCCAATACCGCACGATTGGTTTATGAACTTCGTGACATTAAAAATTCAGTTCTTGATTACGTTGAATCCCTAAATGATCAGGTTAACCGATCATTTATGATAAACTCTTTTATTGCAAACTTTAGTTTCCACATCTATCCAGCAAATTCGTCTTATCGACTCACTTAGGGGTCCTAATGGACGACTCGGGCCCTGGTGGGGTATACTGAGGCTCATAGGTATACACCATTAAATACCAGGAAAAGCCCTCCTGTAATGGGGAACCTTTGTAGAAAGGCTGAGTCATCAAGTCCCTTCCCAAACCTCCCCGTGGTGGCCCTGGATGCTCTGCGTGGTGAGAACCTAAAGAGTAACGAAAAGGGTGGGACGAAAGGCGAGTTTCCGGCGCCATAAAACGGGAACCATGAGCTAAGGGAAGGAAACCCTGACAGAAAACCAAGGGGGGAGGGGGGCCTCCGTAGGTGTAGTGGAACCAACCGTCCTAAGGGATGACAACCCTGAAAAAAAATCTACCTCCAGGATTAAACATGGGGGTTGGACGCTGGGCTAACATCCCGGCTCCATAAAAAAAACTTCAGTTCAAAGCGATTTAAATATGCCTCGGATCAGACCAAAATTAAACTTACGACAAAGGCTACGAAA